TATGTCTAATATGTTTTTTTAAGATATAAATAAATATTAATTATAAAATTATATATTTATAAATATTTATTCATCTAAAACTTGATATGGATAATTATTATAAATATATCATATTTTTTTATAATTAAAATAATAAAGTCCAATGTTTATAAAGAATTATTATCTAAAATAACTTTTATTAGAATTATTGTGAAAACGAGTTATTTCTAAAATCAATTCATTAAAAAAATGAACACAAGATTATTAAGTACGTCACAAGTCAATTTTTTAATTGAACCATACCAATAAAAAATACTAATTAAAAAAAATGAATCTCATAAAAATATAATTAAACCTTAAAATAAAAAACCTAAAAGACAGTGTTTATATCCTTAGGATAGCGGGGGTGCAATTCGTGACATAGTGCATGAGCAAGATAGTAACTATTTATACACTCACATCAACAACTAATTCATCTATACTAGTAGACTAGTAGTATACTTTACGTGTTGAGTTAAGCCATGGATACGTTACTACTTAATTGAATATGAAATGTCATAATTAACTTTACATTTGAAGAAAAATAATAACTTTATTTTAATTAGTGTCAAAACTTATTTACGTAATGCATCTATATGATACTTAGAAATAATCAAATCCTAATTATATAATAGTTTTCAAAGACAAATAACATATAAAAAAATATCCATATCAAAATTATCACGTAATTATGGTTAATTTTCATATCATGATACATATTTGATACATTTTTATGTTAAATCAAGCTGACATCTTCTTTGATTAAATATTTAATTAAACGATATTTTTATTTTCTCTATTTTTCTATCAATGTTTAAATCTCCTCAAACAATATTCGATATAATGAAAAATTTTAAACACGTACGTGTGTTTATATTTTGAGTATTAAAAAATGGTGTAGTATATTTTACATGTATTTAAAAAGTATCTCTATAATTGATTATATTGTGAAATTTTGACAAAATGTTTTTGTTTTATTGTTGAAGGGAAGATGAGTTGGAAGAAAGGGAGTGGCATTAACATTGGTTGTGATAATGGAGAAGAGTGGTGATGATGAAGATAGGATCACTAACAATGTTGTGTTGATAATGCTATGAGGAATTCCCGACTACACCTGAAAGTACATAACCATATGTTCCTATCAAGACATATGTTACCTTTGTTCAAATTGGACAATGATGTTTTGTTGCATCACACACCCACGTATTCTTCGATTACTGAAAAATATAATGATAAAATTTCATTAAAAATATTTTAAATAAAGGGATATGCATTAATAAAGTATAAATTTTATAAAAAAAAATTATGAAAAGCATTATTTTATTAACTTTTGATACTTAATTTGACTTAATCATGTTCCAAAAGAAAATTATGAAAAAACTGTAGTTGACACCTGCTCACTTCGACCTTGTATTCTCAGGTGACTTATTTAGACATTTTGATGGGACCAGTGGGACTAAAGCCCACTAACCCCAACGTTGGCTTTGTCTCTCGTCAATTAATTGAATGAAGACTAAAATGTTTCGGTTTATTTCATTTTATAATTAAAGTATCATTTAAATTTTTTTATGTTTTTTAATTAAATTCATTAAAATACAGTAGGTGGTTTTCTTTCCTTCTTCAATACATTAAGTGGTCATTCTTTTATTGAGTTTAATTAAGCATAAAGCTTTTATATGGCAATTGATCAAAATCAAGATTTCTATCATCTTTTTATATTTTTCTAATTCTACCAAGTTTTATGTTTCGTTATTTCATGGAGGAGTATGATGACCACTATTGAGTATTTTCAATAATTTTTTTAGTATTTGATAGCAACTTAAATTTTGAAAAAATTGTTTGAATTCAAACCTAATTAAAAAAACGAGGTAAATTTATGACTAATTAATATTTATTTAAACCAAAAATGCATTTTAAATTTCTCTCGATCACTTTTACTTAAATTAAAAAATAAATGACAAGTCAATAAAAATTTATTTTCATAACTAATATAGATGAAATTTTAAAAAAAAAACCTATAAGATCATGAAAATATTTTGAATTTAACAGCTATAGATCAATTTCTAAATTCATCAAACACCCATAATTTACGCAGCAAAATTAGTATGAAAATTGTGAGCTAAAACATTTCAAAACATTGTGATCTTTCTACCCATAAAGAAAAAGAGTGATATCTACAACAGCATATGTTTGATTATGAGAGCTCATACTTTGTTGTCGAATTAGGAACATGATCAGCAGTTATACAAGAATTGTTGTCATCTCCATATATGGGAGGCACTTGTGTTGTTGTTTTTGACAAGGCTATGTCCAACGAGTCACTCACAACATAAATTGACTACCAATTCTGGATATTACTCTTTAGGATACTCAAACTGAATCTTGACCAATTCATACGTGAGATATACTTCTTTTTAAAAAGAATACTAAGTGCTCCTCTTAGTTGTGGTTTTAATGCCTCTTTAAATGTGAACATATTTGTAATGATCACGACCAACTTTTAGTGGGATTCATTTTGTTTTTTGTTCTCTGATTTCTTTCTACAATCAATAAGCTAAATAAAAATAAAATAAGTAATTACTTTCTGTAATGATTCGGCCTTGCCAGCTTAAATATTGCCATGCTGTTTTCTTTTTGGTAATGAACTGTTATCACATTATTTGAAAATAAGAATGTTAACACAACTTTTGAAACGTTTAATTTTACTCTAACCAATTGATACGAAGAATCGCACGTACCATCAACTTTTTTTTGGTTTAATAAGAGAATCAACAATTGCTACTAATGCATGTTGACTTAGATTTCACTCTCATAAAACAAAATAAATTACACTTCATTTTACCTAATAAAGATTTAATGGAAGACCGTAAGATATTCCTTGAAATGCATAAAAGAAAAATAAAATATCGGATTATAATTTCGTTGATGCCTCTATCTTGATAAGGTACGTAAAATGATCCAATATTATAAGGCTATAAGCAGATGGGATTTGTTACCTATTCAAACAACCGACCATAAATTAGTACTTTGTTTATTCTTATAAATCAAATGATTTTTTTTAAGAATTGGAAGTTAGGTTAAATTAAAAGTGTGGGCCTATATTTACTTGTTAGAATAATTTTCTTATAAGATAAATTACATTTTAGTTTTAGTATAACATTTTTATAAGTTGTTTCTTATCTTTTATCAACATTATAACAATGTTAGAATGTTTTTTTTTTCATAAAGAATAAATAAAATGTACTTTTAGATATAGAGATCAAAATATAAATATTTTTTTACATAAAGATAAAAAAATATAATTTTTTATATACGAAATAAAATGAAAAAATATTATCATGTCAGACTAAATTTAAAGATTACTATTATATATATCAACAGCAAATGATGAGATAAATTCATAAATATTTTAATATAAAATTTTAAATATTTTCTTATATAAAGACGAAAATAAATAATATATAAGTATGGAAATTATATTTTTAATTTAACTTAAAAGTTATACCGTATGATATGTAATCTACTTTGTGTCTTTTCCATATTTTAGACATTTGAAAAATGGAATGAATGATATTCTATTCTTATCAAAGTTAAACCTAAATAGGGAGAAAAAATCATTCTATTATATTTCAGTGCTCCTTTTGTCTACTTTGAATTATAAAATTTAATTTGAAGTGTATCAAAGTAGTTGTTTATTACAAACTTGTTATGGTTTGACTGTACGGAGTGTTTGTGCAGTTTTCCTGCTCTAGGTTGATATTATATCCATTAACTTTTTTTTTGGGTAAGGTATAATTGTCTAAGTAATAAGGAAATATAAAAGAATTCAGCTCTTGAAAAGTTTTTTTTACAACATCATGAAAATACAAAGAAGGATTAGTCTAATACTAAAGATTGTGAGAAAATCTTACTAGAGATAAGAGGAAAAAAAGGTGTTTGCTGGGCACTTTTAAATTTTCATTTCTACATGAATTTGTAAAAAAATAAATATATTTTCTTTCAACAGGGAAATATCCCCATTTAGTAGTCCCACCTTATCATAGCTTTATCTCAACTTGCAATTTATATCTGAGAATAAAATAAACTAAATGATGAGGTTGTAGTGGTTATTTTGGCTGCAATGTGTTCTGAAATTGACATGTTTTTGTAGCCACTTGTGTACTATTGGTTGACCCTAGTATTGTATATTGTTCTTTCTTCTTGTAATAATGCTCTATCACCTGTATCATACTGTCGGAGTATTCAACAACTCGTAAATTCGTGGCGAAGGGTGTGCGAGTTAAAGATTTTCTGCCACTTTAGTAACAGATTAAAGATATGTGATATAGACCATACTTTTTTGTTCCCCGTAATTTCTATGGTAATTCTAGCTACTTGATCAAGCATGATTCACGTTCATATATACAAGTGATTATCTATTTACTTTTTATTTTGAATCATGCTTTTAAGAATAAAAAGTAAATATATGTTTTAATTAACACAAAGGACTAGTGATGTGAAAATTTTGTGAAAAATATTCACGGAATAAAAACCAAGGGTTTGTAACCTCTAAAACAAACAATTAAATATAATACAACTAGTATCAGTTCATATGTATACGTGTGCCCGAAAATTAATTTTATTCAAAATAGAGTTACGCAATATTAATACAATTAATATTTTATCTGAAACACTACAATCTATGTATAATTGCTTTGTCAGTTTTTTTTAATGTTTTAACAGTAGTGAAAGGAAGAAGGATATGGTAATGGCATGATCAACAGTTGAATACTACTAAACTGAACCAAAAACATCCATGGCTGCCAAAATGTTTCTACCAAAACATATATATGATAAGATGATTCTACAATGATCTTAACCATACAAAGCATGCACCCTTTTATAATTATACAAAACTCCTCACATTTCCTTTTAACATAAGAAGCATGGTTTTGTGAATCCAAGAACCAGGGAAAACCTTGGCATCCGACACAAAAACACAGTCACCACAAGAAGTCCTTTCTCCAATTAACTTCATCATTGCTAAAATAGAACCCATTTTGTGTAACCATCCAAGAGCACATCCTAAGAGGGCCGCAACGTTGTGTGTCTCTAGAAGCCTTAAATGCCTCAAAACTCTTCCTTATGTTGTCCCATTTCATGGTACACTTCATGCGGTTGCTGCTCCAAAAACCAGGTCTCATCACCCAGCTAAAGTCATCATGTTCTTGCAAGGCACGCCCACCCAGATCCATCTCCTCCGAAGAACACCAAATCACCAAAGGCACAGAGGAATTGTCAGTGAACCCATTAATCACTCTCACGTAGTACTCATTAGTGTCAAACAAATACCTTGCTCTTTGTATTGTGGCCATCACAACTATTATGGTTGAGACAGAGCATAGTATAATGTAAACACTCGCTGCAAATTTCATGGTTCTTCCTATACTGGGTGTCTATGTTATGCTTCTTAGGCTTTATATATATATATTTGTGACATTACATAGAGCATAATTTGAGGCATTAAATACTATATTAGTGTTACCTCAATCTTTTTCATTCCTTATTTTTCCGAAATGCCCTCAATCTTATCATTCTGAGTGATCTTTTCCTTTGTTGGCACTTTTTGTTTATGGTGTATATTTCATATTTAAAGCACACCCATGCGACACGATGCTTGTTTATATGCTAGGATATTATTTTTTAAGCATTCTATTTTCATTAGTTTACCAAACTGAAATCTGCATTTAATATAAAATTTAATTTTTAATTACTTTTAATTTTTCTTTTATGTTTAAGTTGTCTTCGTTGACTGCACACTAATATTAATATTATATTTATTAAATATAATCTATTTAAATTAATAAAAATGCTATATTGAATGTCATCAATACCATTAACTATAATATATTTATTAGATAAAAGAATGTTTTTGAGTACAAAATTCAGATGCAGAACATGCATGTGGTACGATTTCTGTCCCGTTTATCTTTTAACTTTTAATTAAATGTTTTGCATCTAACAGAAGAGAAACGTATTGTTTTGTGCTGATTTCGAGCAAAAATTTATAAACAAAAACGCTAATTATAAATATTTTTTTTGCTAGAAATAAATATAATTAATATATAAATTATAATTAAAACTAGTTAATATATTATTAAATTTAATAAATTTTGTATTAAATTTTTCTGACTTATGTTTTACCTAAGTATGATTATTTAAAAAATTATAAAATTTATGATGTTTTTATAATTATTGAGAAAGTTTGATACCCTTCTTTCTTATACGTGAAACAATTTAATTGTTAATTTGGAGTTAATAGTTTAATTTAAAAAGATGTTAATACTTTTTATTTTTAAAATAATAGAAAAATTAACTATTAATCTAAAAAAATATATAAAATACTCTCTTAAATTTTTGTTTACTATAATAAGCACTTTAATATATATATATATATATATATACACGGTTTATTTCTTTAAAGTATGGTTATTGGATCGAAATTTATGCGTTGAAAAAATATTTATTAGAAGAGATAAGATGTCATGGTTTAATCCAAAAGGATTAATGAATTTAAATATTGATAAAACATTATTAAAACTATATAAAAAAATTATTACTTTTTCGTTGTTGGTTTTCTCCTTCTTTTTGGGTCAACTGTTGTTGTTGCACTCAGGCAACAGTGTTCAATCGTTGGATTACACTGGGCCCATAGCATTTGAAGCCCGTTATTCTACCGAACATTGGCTTTCCTATGCAAATTGGGTAAAAGGTTCTTCTGACTTTTAAAAAACAGACATATATATAGATTAAGGACTTTTTAGTGCAAGCTCTGAATTTTCTAAAAGATCATTTTACTTTTAAAATCATATGACACTTGCCATGTATATAATGCACGTTAAAATGAACAAATAATTAAATTACTACAAAATCTTTTGTTTTTACCTACTGTTTGATGTTCATACTCAACTTAAATAGTTTTTGGATAATTGTGGCATATTTTTTATAAACTGTGAAATGAGTGAAAAGCGATAGAGAGAGGGAAGGAACAAAGAAAGAAAGAAAATTGTGAAAAACATGGAGAGAAAAATAGTAAAGAAGACAGAATGTAAAAAAGACATGAGAGAAAAGGGTATGATAAAATCAAAACCGATAGTGACTCGCGTATTTTATGTTGTTGGATAAGGTAATCCAAGAACACAATCAGACAAATGGTGTCATCATAACAAAAATCATAACTAAAAGACATCAAACGCTAACAAATAATATTTGTCAGCAATGACGGAGAATAATAAATATATAAAAATTTCAACTTAAGAATTCATTGTTAGAATTGGATTCTTGTCTACAGTTTGAATATGCTGTGTAGTTAAAATCCAAATATTCTCATTTCCTAATGAACTTGAAATCTTCTGCTGTCGACAAAACATGCATTCATAGTTAAGTGAATTTGATACTTTAAGTTCTATTCACAGTTCGTAAATTATTGATCTCGATGATATCGATAACATAGCTTTTGTTATGGACACCAACACATATAACGTGTTGTAATATAAAAGAGGGTATGCAATTTATTTCACTAAATATTTCTTAAACTTATATAATTCTCATGTTTTTTTCAACTTGTTCAATAAATTTAAGATATAAGTAATCATTAAATGCACATTTAGATTTCACTTTAGGTTATGAAAACGGTCAACTAGTTGGAGAAAAAGATAAAAGTGAAGTGAGTGCAAAAGTGCAAAAACCACCCACTAACAATGGCAATAGCAAATGTCAACTCAGAACAAGTTGAATTTGTAATTGTAATGGGCCCTAATCTTTTAAAACTGAAATTCTGGCTCCAAGTCAAAAGGCCCATTTCACTTTCCGCTTTCAAAAACAATTGCCGCTATGATATTGTTTTAACTTTAAAAAGATAACTTTATTCACAGGTTCCACCCAAATCCTCCTCTTTATGCTGTCTCAGTTCATAATACTGTTTATTACAATTTCAAGTCTATAGTTTTAATTCAAATATCTCTCATTTTCCTAATTTAATTACTCACCAAGATCATGTTCCTAAAAAGTTCTATATTTGACTTTATTCTCGTTAAACAAAAGTGTCGTATCTTTTTGAAATCACGAACTTCATATAAGCTGTTGATTTTAACTTTTATCACATGCAAAATCTTGTTTCGTATATCCTCTGTGACATTTTAATTTTCTTCCTTCCCTTTGCGTTATGAACAAGCTACAAACCAAACATTGTGGACACTATCAAGGTTTGCACATTCAAATTATTGGGAATTACGCTGTGAATAAAAACAGTAACGATAGTTCATAAATTGGTTTGGTTCAGTTGTCTGCGCTCTGCAATAAACGTGTTATAAATCTGTTGAGCACTATTTGGTACAAGTTGGTAAATATTGCAGACAAAGTGTGCTGTTATTCTGCAATTGCAACTTAAAAACATTGATCAGTCCAATCCTTGCACCCAATTAATGCTGTTAAAATTTCTGCCTAGTTTGTGCAGCAGAACACAGAACTCCTCAGGCATGGTAAATGCACAAGTCAAGCGCAACAAAATTCACTTCTTTCTGGTTTCCTACTTCCCACATAAATCATATCTTTTAGATTAATGTTGGCCCAACAATTGTAAATTTATGTTTGGATTAATTTTATTTCATTATAAATAAGTTTAGAACCATGTGAATTATATTTAAATTTTTTGTTTAAAAGTAAATTTATAGCAAAAATTGCACTGAAAATCACATAAGCTGTGTTTATATTATTATACAGACAAGTTTATAACTTTAAAGAAAATATCACCAAACTTATTGATACAAAATTTAAATTATCTTCACATCTTTAAATTCATCAAAGCACGTGATAAAAAGTAGTGATATAAAAGAAATTAGAAGTGAAAAATAAGTTTTAAAAATTATATTATATATTAATAATATAATTTCTTAGATTTATGTCATCCACTCTCGTTGAATAAATTAAAATGGCATAATTTTAAACTTAAAATACTTTCCATTTTTAAAACAAACAATTTGGGATAAAACTAAAATCTTTAAAAGAAGAGGAGCCAAAGCAGTCTCATTTTCTGTAGAACAGAAAATGTATCGTGATATTAAAGATCATGGCAATGCCAAAATCCAAATCTCCAATTTCATTTCATAGAATAGATACTCAACCAAAACGGCAAAGGCCCCAAACACTGATCCATGAAAACCCAGTTAACAAAACAAAGAAAAAGCCAAATCCCAAAGTTTCAGTCAACAACTTTCTCTAATTAACACTCTAAATTTGACAGACCATGATAGTCTAGTGCCCTATTCCCACCACTTCTTTTACCTCAGCCTCTTTAATTTCCTCTGCTAAAATCTTAAAACCCTGCAAGGCTGCAACGGAAAGATATGTTTTTTTTTCTAAGTCCAGAAGCGCCCCCCCCCCCTTGAATTGCACCAATGGGTCAGATACCCACCAAGGCATCACAAAGCCTACCCTATGTGACATAACAACAAACACCTAGGTAAGGCCTATCACTCACTTTCCTTGGATTTTGAAAAGCTCAAGATCTTTGGCACTTTAACATGTTCAGTAGCAACCAAACAGTGCCCAAAAGCACGCTTATTCAGAATCTTTAAATTCAAACACATTAAATAATAACCCAAAAAAAAAAGGATTTTTCTTCTGTTTTTCAATAGAGTAGACAGAGAGAAAGTGATTGTGTGTGTGCATGTGAAGCGTGAGACACATATATGATAACTGCTATAAACAAAAGTGGAAAGCGAGGGGTCTCCACGCGGAGCACAGATAAACACACTCTCATCTTTCTCTGCTCTGCACTGCCCTCACCACATACACACATCACACAACAACATTGACCCACAAATTATGCTATGCTCATTTTCATTAATATGTCAAAAATGTTCTAATTAAGATAACAATTTGTTTATTTTAAAATGGTAATTGTAATTAATATCACATTTGTTTGCATGTGTAACGGTAGTTATAATTTTATAATAAGATCGATTATGTAAAGAGAAAGAACAATATAATAACAGAGAAATAATTTAGATATGTGAAGGGGTAGGGACAGAGAGAGAATGGGAATAGGGCACGAGGCTCGAAACAACAGTGCCTTTCGCACTCAAACTTTAAAACGCCTCGAATTTTCAAACGCTGAAAAGGATATCCTAAAGGGAGCCAAAACAAATAAAGACCTTCATTAATATTATATCATATACTATATATGTGTTTTGTATTGTATGGATACTAAACTGAATGTGTGTTATGTATCATCATCATGTTCATGCTCATGCTCATGTCGTATGACATTTGTGGGGCATACACATGCATGTTGTGTGTGGATATATACATTCCAGTTGTTGTGGCTTTATGCAGTAATGTTGCTACTTGCTTGCCATCAGTATCAATG